TATAGTAGCTTTAGGGGCCAAGTATATACCATATAGGTACATGGACACCTAGGGTAAGTTGGCGTTCTAAGTACGCGCTGCAAGGCGTGGAGCAAGAGGCGAGAGCAAACCGAAACAATTCTCCAAAACTGATTCGGCCGGGGCAGCTGGGAGCGTAGCTGTCGCAGTGGTTATGGTAGCCGTGGTGCTTGTGGCAGTTACGGTCCTCAGTCTGGAGGTGTGGGGTTCAGATTTACAGGGACTTGTCTAAATTCGGCTATACAAAGATCGACCTTCTGCAATCGGAAAATCCTTCTTTCGAGGGACCGTCTGAGGTACCCCCTCTCGTAAAAGTGACCCTCAGCCAGAACAACGTAGTCCAGAATCTAGAACACCCCACCCTCGTCATCTGCAGTGCGCAGACGTATCCAAGAGCCCCAAGAAACGATTTTCGGGTTCAGGGTTCAGGGTTTAGGGTGGGGCGTTGAAGCCGAATCTCCCGAACAAGCTCGAAGGAGGGCTCTCTGAGACATACAGCTACTGGCGAAGCCACAGGAAGCTGAGGTTCATCGTAGCCCGAAACCCTAAACCCCAAACTCTCTACATATATATATATATATATATATATATATATATATAAATATAAATATGAATATATAAATATATAAATATATAAATATATAAATATATAAATATATAAATATATAAATATATAAATATATAAATATATAAATATATAAAAATAAAAATATAAATATAAATATAAATTTAAGTATAAGTATAAATATAAATATAAATATAAATAAATAAATATATATATATATATATGTATATATTCCTTTTTTGGGGGAAGGGGGGGGGGGGGCGAAAGCTTGGGCTTAAACCCTATAAATCCTTTCGCATCGGGGCCGGCACCGATGAAACCCTCAACCCTCAAACCTAACCATGTACGCACATAGGGAATACTTGGGCCTTAAGGTACCTCCTATTTGGGGACGGTAGGGCCCATGTACATAAAAATGAGGTACATGGATCCTGAGGGTCAACCCTTAGCCAAGCCAGGGTGCACTTCAGTCGCGGGAACCGACTGCCCATCCAACTTCACCTGCCCAACTTAAGGGGTTAGGGTTCAGGGTTTCGGGTTTAGGGTCTAGGGTTGGGATGTTTCCCCCCTTATACTTCCGGCCTTAACAGGGATTTTTTTCATTGGGGGGGGGGTTATGATAATCCCTACGAAGGGCTGTTACGAAAACGGGGAACCATCCCAAGGCTTAGAGTTTAGGTCTTAGGGACTTAAGTAGTGCTGCCATGGGAATGGTGCTTTGTTTTGTGCTGCGCGACTCCACGGTGGTAGCCTCGGTTCAAAAAGGGACCATCGCTTCTGGGGCTACCTGAACCCTCCATGGGCGTTTGGTGCCAAGAACTCGGGTTTAGGTTCAGGGTTTACGGTTTCGGGTTTAGGGTTTCGGGTTTAGGGTTTAAGGTTTAGGGTTTAAGGTTCCTGTGAGTTGCAGGTGTACTTTCGTAGCGGCGGGCCCCTTGTAGGGAAAGACGAATGCAGTCTTCGGGTGTATATCTTCGTTCCCGCCCAAACGCAAGGTTTCTTTGCCAACAGTCAGAGGAAGGCTTTAGGGCGTTTAGGGCCTTTAGGGTCACCAGCCCTAAACCCTAAACCCTAAACCCTACACCCGAGGCCTCCGCGGTTTTGACCTGCTTTAAGCTGGAGTCCAGCACTGACATCCTTAGGGCTTTTTAGGGTTTGGGGTTTAGGGCTGTTTAGGGTTTAGGGTTCACACATGTTCTAAGGGTTTAGGCACCAGGAATGCCATCGGCCACTCTTGCCAAAAAGCGCTGGGTAAGCACAGCTAGCCAATGACTCGAGCTCGTGAAGCCCCTTTTTTGGAACCAGGGCTCTCTGAGGTGCCAATAAACCCTAAACCCCTGTATATATAGATATAGATAAATATATAAATATATATATATATATATCTATGTATATTATGCATCAAGAATTGTCCAGCCCAAACCCTACACCCTAAGATGCCCAAGATTCGTGAAGCTCAGCTGCTGGTTGCTCGTCCGGTAGACAGTGAAGATATGCGCCTGGTCGCCTTCGGCACGCAACAATTTGAGGGACTGCAAGTCTTGCACTGGTTCTTAGTCTTAGGAGGGAATCAGGAAATGAGGTACCCTACATATCTGGGAATGTAGGGGGTTTCAGGTTCCGTAGTAAGTTGTGAGGTCCCATGTCCTCCCTGCGTTCTACGACCTCGTCCGGGAAGATCGGTGAGCGGAATGAGAACGTTCGCGGCGAAAGGCTCTTCGCACACTGCAGTTGGAACCTTGCATCGTGTGCATCACATGCGACCAGCCGGTCAGATACTTAGACTAACGACGGGCCCGCAATTCTCAAGAACTTCCCATGCCGGTGCCTGAAAAGCGGCAGGTCCGGAAGATACTGAAAAGGATCTTAATCAAGACAAACCTTCCTTATAGCTTCCTTAAGTTTCAAAGGCCAGGCAAAAGTGGGCAAGCGATGCACCGTAGTGTTGTCCAAGTTTCATGAGACAATCACTCCCAGATTATGACCCACATGCTGCCAAACGGCGTCCACCAAGTACCTGGCCGGCATGGCAGGCGCTGCGGCAAGCTTCTGGACATTTGCATCTAAATTTGTGGCCGCAGCCTCAATCCTAAACCCTGAAACCCTAAACTTTAGGCGCACAACCCTGTGCCTGCGCCATCACTTTGACCCATGGCAACTTTGAACAGATAATGCAATGAGAGCCAACCCCCCCAAAACCTCAAGCAAAATCAAAGCAAAATCCACCCCGGACGGTCCTTTACGCTTCTCCCCATCTACCTCCAAAACTCTGAACCCAAATTCCTGAAGCAAACGCCTCCCAAACAATACAGACATCTGCAAACCAGCAGCGAGGAAGCTGAGAGCCTGGGATGCTGAGGGACAACATCCGCGAAGAGGGGGGGGTTTAAGGCTCTTGCGTGATTGCTCTGACTTTGTTGAATGGCTTTTGGTTTGAATGTTTAGGACTTCAATGCTCACAGGTCTGCTCATGGGAAGTGCCACTACGTGGAGTCAGGGCCAGTGGCTTTCTCAGGAAGCGCAGCAACAAAGACAAACATTGTAAACCGATCATGAGACTATCTCTCTTGGGCGCCAGACTCAGTATGCGATAGGACAACAACTGGAGCCTGTAGACTTGCTTCAGAAATCTCTCTGACACGGGCGCAAATTGCACTCTTGCCCTTCACCAGCAAGGCTTCGGAAGATCTCGATAGGACAGGACCGCTGGCAGCGACTACACAACAATCTACAACATCTCAGAGGGCTGACTGAACGATCGGCATCAATACATTATACTTAAACGGTACTACAAGTGGCATCGCAAAAGCTTTAAGGCTTGTTGCCACCTAGCTCACGCAAGGGCTTTGAGGTTAGGATTAATACGGTTGAAGGCTGGCTTTCCGTCTCTGGCAGCAACGACCCCTAGACACATGGCGTCTTGCCTAAACCCTACAGGCCTTAACCCGGGCTTAGGGAGGTCACAAGGCGAGGCGGCCTGACCTACTATTTGCTTAAGAACCCCCCACAACGAAATGGACGATATTCGAAAATTAGGTTTTACCCACTCACTATACAGCCCTATTTTGAGGAATATTTGGGGCAAGCAAGCAAGCACTTATTTTCAGCACACAAAAACACATGAGAACACCACTAATTGTTTAAAGAGGTCCGGATATACCTTGTTTTCTGATTTGAATAAAGTGCACAATATCTAAGTCAATGTTTCGATTGGGAGAAGGAATGTGTGAATGAAATAGAATCTTGTCAGCCTACCAGAACTAAGACATAAGCCACCTCTATAATTATTAGAACCAAGGGCAAGCCGACACCAAATCACAACCTGTCTAGTCCTTCAGGTACTCCTGTCTCTCTTTTACATGCCTCTTAAGCTACTTGATCCCAAGCTAATCAATATCATGTTACTCCAAAACCACAGAGCAAAGTCCTAAGAATATCTCACGAGCTTTCTTAAGTCCTCCTTCCTGTTAAAGAAACACGAAGATAATGATCCCTATATTGTCGTCATATAAGGAAGAACGTGTTTGCTTTTTTTGGGGGGGGGGCGGGGGGGTTCTTAAGCAAATGGTAAAAACAGGCCTTACATAGCAGCGAAGGCGCGCGCGGCCCAGCGCCCCCAAAGCCAAGACCAGGCCCAATGCAGCCATGATGGGGGAGGAGTTCAGAAACAGGTGTTATAAGGAGCTTCCCCTCAGGACCACATGGGCCCTTTGCTGTATAAGATTATAGAGGGGACGAAGGGTAATAAAAGCCATGAAGAATAGGTTCAAACCTACCCCTGCCAAAATGGACCCTTGAGTTGGATTCTTACACTCGTGTGTTACGACCCTAATATATTTTTTTACTCTGTGGCAGCAGGCTTCAAGGCACTAAGCCCTCTCGTGCCTAACTGCTGGGTGGGCTCAGGCTTTCAGATGCGCACGTCTGGGGCGCCTTTGGGGAAGCTCGTGTTTCGCAAAAACGGCCGCAACCTGAAGCCAACCATGCGACGCGCACTCCATGACCCCTCCTCGCCCCGGCGAATCTGAAATCGCTGGGAGATGAACGCCGTCTGGAAACAAATGAACCGCAAAACTGGGATCGTCAACCCTATGCCTAGCCGCAAGAAGAACTGCCCAGACTGACCAGGGCGGATCTTGTGCTGAGCAGATGCACAGGCACATCGAAAGCGCCAATGCCGCTGACAATAACCTCAAACCCCACAAACCACCCCAGACAGACCCCGAACTAAACCCTAAACCCTAAAAGCCCTTTGCGCCGATCAGAGCTTCCTATACAACGGGGACTACGTGAAGCCTACGGCCTACGGGGTCTTATTGATGTAGTATTCGGGCATATGATCCAAATCTTAACCTTCAACCCGAACCCTGAACCTTATTCCGAACCTCCCTCCTCCCCCCCTTCCCAGATCAAAACTTCAGATGGCCCAGCATCCCAGCATGGTGGTAACCCTCTGCTGGGTGAGCCAATGCTTCCGGTAGAAGCGCAAGTCGTCCGGGTGGCTCGCGTCATCCACAAGAATGACCTGTCCATGAACCACTTCTTTAGTGTGGGAAGACCAGGTTATGCCGTAAAAACCAAACGAACCCCCAAAATGGGGTCATATGCCCTATACTACTATCATTCCAAGTAGGGTATATGTTTTTGCTAAGGACTCGACACAGCGTGAGATTCTTGAGTGCCGTGGTGGCAGACGCGCAATCCTAGACCCTAACTTGAAACCCTATAAGCCCTCTTAAACCTTTACACTTCAAACCCTCTGAACCCCTGTCAACCTACGAACCCTAAGCCCATTCACCCTGAAGAGCCTGCTTTAACTCCAAACCTGGCACATGGCTGCCTGAAACTTGGTGTAGGATTTAGGGCGTAGGGTCCTGCCACCTTATGACTCGCCATATTGTTGTGTTTTCTTCTGTCTATAACTTTTGCTTACGTTCCATCATATTTGTGGTCCCCCTCTTGCCACCCTGCATTGGCAGAAGAAGCTGGTTGGAGGCACTATAGTAGCACAAAACAAAGCTCCGCCAAGTTGGGCATTTTAGTGTTTAAGGTTACTAGACCTTACATCGCGACACCGAACCTGTCCTGTCAGCTGCAGAGTCATACAGGACTATATGCTGTAGATGTCATATGAAGTAGGGTACATATTTCTTGTACCCCCAAAAGGACACCAGGTATATACACTCACCAATATTAAAGAGGAACCTTATATACACTCACCAAAAACAGAAATATAAACCCTGCTTCATATACCGATCACCTTGAGCCAAACCCTAAACCCTAACCCTAAACCCGAAGTCCTAAATCCTAAACCCTAAACCCGAAATCCTAAACCCTAAACTTCTATCCGGAAAGTTCTGAACCCAGGAGCCCGACTGGCCTCCCTGACAAGATGTGGCGGAGCCGTGTTGAGGACCGAGTGGACGGACCTCCCCCAGCTACCCGGAAGGTCGTGAATCCCAACGGAACCAAATGAACCCTAACATTGGGGTCATGTACCCTTATACTACTAGAATTCCTATGAAGGTATACGAACCATCAACCCTTTTGGGGTTCATCTGGTCACAGGCTTTCAAAGTATCCGAGGAAACACCAGCGGCCCCACGTAGCCTCACCAGCGCGGAGAATGCCTCGTTGTGAAAAACGATCACAATCTGGCAGCGTCGGTCTTGCATTGCGCACACGTCTTTGCCTTAAGAAGCCAAACCCCTAATAACGCAGGCTCGCACTATCACACCCCTGATATTCTTCTCAGGTAAACCTGCAAGAAAATGGGTCTTGGGTTCTTAAAACCACTGCTTAAGTTGAAAAGCTCGACTCTTGGAGCTTCTGGACGCCTTTGGCGATACAAAACCAATCTTCAGGATTCATCAAATGGGCCAGCGTCCTTCGACACAGCCAACTTGAGTTGCCCAGGGTCTACAGGGCGATTTCACCAGAGATTCGAGTCCGAAAGCCAAGAAGACGACAGGTCCACCCTGAGCCCAGGCAAGCGAGCCGGAGCGCGGTAGCTTGTGGTAGGTTCGTCGGATAACCTGCAAAATTGACTTTTTTGAAAGCACGCCTGCGGACGGCCAGGTACAGACAGCTGTCCTGCAGCCCTTACACCCAACGCCAGATCTCACGACTCGCAGAACCTTCCTTTGAGTTCTTGGTTCAGGGCCCTGCGCCCTAAGCTTAAAAAACCTGAAATGCGCCCCATGCCTCAAAAGTCAAAAACCTTAACCCTCAAAACTCCAAAAGCACTCAGCCCTTCTTATGAAGTCCGTCGGATTTCAACCCTACACCGGCCTGTGGCCAGCTTCTGGCAGGCTTTCGATCGGATCTTGGCAGAGGTTGAGCACCCCACCCCTCTCCTCTCCCCACACGGGAAAAACGAGTTTAGGTGCCTAAAGGGAGCCCACGGCCAACCCCTCCCTGTATAGGGTTTCGGGCATTTTGGGTTCAGGGGTTTAATACTATTCCCTTCAGAATGCCAGAAGTCCAGGGCTTTCGACTCTCACGCTTCGCACACGGCAGGCAAGGACTCACAAGTCTCATTGCTTTCCAGACTGCGACTTAGTACTTAAGGCTTTGGGGCCTAGAACACTAAACCCTAATTACACGCTATACACGGCAGGCAAGTCTTCGGAAGGTCTTGGTAGGTCAGGTCGCCATGAAATCCCGAACCCCAGCCGAAGGTGCAGTTTTTCTCCCACCGGTCTCGCAGGAGCTGCGGTTTGGGGTTTACTGTTGAGGGTTGGGGCCAAGGTTTTGGGGTTTGGGGCTTATGGCTTTCACATGGGCCCTAAACAAACAACCCTGAACCCTTTTTACGGCTGAGACTGCTGCACTGCCTGCCTGGGACGAACTATGCCATTCAAGAGCGGGCAACGCGGACTACCCCGAGCCCTCAACCCTAAACTCTGAACCCGAAG